AACAGTGCTGCTATAAACATAGGGGTGCAGGTGCTCTTTGGAATGGATGTTTCTGTGTCCTTTGGGTAAATACCTAGGAGTGGAATTGCTGGATCCTATGGAAGCTCTATGTTTAGTAGGTCCAGAAATCTCCACACAGCTCTCCATAGTGGTTGGACCGGTTTGCACTCCCACCAGCAGTGCAGGAGAGTTCCTTTTTCTCCACACCCTCGCCAACATTTGTTGTTGCTAGTTTTTTTAATATGTGCCATTCTCACTGGTGTAAGATGGTATCTCATGGTAGTTTTGATTTGCATTTCCCTGATGACAAGTGATGTTGAACATTTTTTCATATGCCTGTTGGCCATTTGCATTTCCTCTTCAGAGAAGTTTCTTTTTAGCTCTTCTGCCCATTTTTTGACTGGATTATTTTCTTTGTTGTTGTTGAGTCTCATGAGCTCTTTGCAGATTTTTGTGATCAGTCCTTTATCATTAGTGTTGTGTGCAAAAATGTTCTCCCAGTTGGTGGGGTTTCTCTTTGCTTTGGTTATTGTCTCTTTTGCTCTGCAGAAGCTCTTTAATTTGATGTAGTCCCAGCTGTTTATCTTTGCCTTCACTATCACTGCTTTGAGTGATGTGTCTGTAAAGATGTCTTTGATGTGAATATCACACATCCACTACACTTTTCTCGCTGGCTATAGCTGGAGGCTCTTTGGTCCTTGCCATGACCTAGATGATGCAATGTGTGTGTGAGCCACTCAGCAGAGTCCTCAGCCTTCATCAGCCATCTGGTCAACAGTAGGAATGAAGGTGCTCAGTACAGGCAGACATACATTCCAAGAATTAAAGAGCAAAGGTCAAAGGGATAAGGCTCTTTTCTGGCATCAAGACATGGGTTGCATTATGTTGGAGATGAGAATGAATGGAGAAGGGCTGGGTTTGGAGGATGACCAAAGACAGACAGAGATCCCATTTTGAGGAAGAGGATTGAGAATATTCAGTGGGTAAAGACAATTCCTTAGGAACCATGATAGGCTTGGTTCCTGGTCTGGTGGAAACTTGTATTAGTAGCGGCCATCTTGCCCTAAGAACTGTCTGGGACTGACTTGGGAAAGAAGCTCGTATCAGAAGGCGTCAAGTCTTTCAGCATTGCCCCCAGTGAGCTGCTCCTCTTTGTAACTGTGTGAGCCCCTCCCCAGGCCCTTGGGCTCTGGTTTTCTGATGAGCCTGGTCCCATTCATCTGCATGTCTCCAAAGAGTTATGTGTGAAATGAATGTTTTGACCCCCACATCTGGCACCCCAGAATATCTTATGCCTAAAATCCCACTTAGAGTGACCAAAGAGCAAAGAATTTTTTTCTCTCTTATATTGCTTTAAACTATAGCTTGTGTGTATTCATGTATTGCAGATTGTTAGGGCTGGGAGAAATCTTGGTGTTGACCTAAATTGCTCATTCTCAGATGATGAAACGATGGCTCAAAAGGGTAGTGACTGATAGTAATACCTAGATGGTTTCTTGATACAGGTGGAAACACAGGTCTCCTTACTGCCAATCTACCTACATCTTAAGCCACATATACTTTTCTATTTTTGTTTTGTTTGTTTGGTTTTTGGTCAGGCTGATATCTGCAGGGGAATACCAGGTGTCATTGGTTCTGACACGCAGCATTTGCCAGGCTCTACCCAGTGCTCAGTAAATGTCCACAAGCCAAGCAAAGTGGAATGAAATTATCTAATTATCCAAAAAATCTTAGAATGAAGCTACCATTAATAAAAATAGTTGATCTTCATCTAAAAACAGCATCAGAAATTAATTGGAAAAACGGGATTGGAATAAAGGTCCATGCTTTTCTTGTCTGTAAAATGGGTGAATGATGAAAAATGATCTTCATGTCTGCACTTTGTATTCTCTAATCTATTGTAGTAACAGAATCTGGGTCAGGAGAGCAGCTCTGAAGGTGAGGGCTCAGGATGCGGCGGCAGCCTGCAGACCAGAGCTCATCACAGCTAACACCTCTGCTGATGCCAGGCTCTGTGGGTGGCAGCCACAGGCTGCCAGGAGCAGCGCGGGGAGGCCTGGCCACCAGCTACTGCCCTGGTTCTAGCACTGGGTCTCCAGCCCTGAAAACCCACAGTCAGTTTCAGTTCTTAGCAGTTTCAGCCATGACCCTTTCTGGCTGAATGGAAGACAAATGCCGCCTGTCCCAGCCAGCCTCTCTGCTTTCTCCATCAGTAAGAGTCCCAACCACCCCATCCCGTGAGAAGAAACTACATAGGAGTGTGCTTCTCACTCCTACTGTATTTGATTCTATGCCTCCACTCTAGTTTTCGGAACACTGACTGCCCTTCATTCAGTTGTCACACTTGATTCTCACAGATTTTTAAACAAATTTCTTCATTCTGTGGCACTACTGATTCTCTTTTTTTTTTTAAAGATGTATTTATTTATACAAGAACCGGGGTACAGGCCAGAGGCGCAGGAGGGTGAGAGGATTCGCCAGAAACAAAGCAGGGAACAGAACAGGTAGACTGATGAAATACACTGCTAAAGGGAGCAGCGGGCAAGACAGGAGAGGTCTGCTGCACCATGTGGGCCCCTCGCCAGCCAGCCGGGATTAAACCCGTGCTGCAGAGGCTACAGACAGCTTCACAGCACGGCACTCAACCACCTGCGACACCAGGGGAGTCCCACTACTGATTTTCTAAACACAAATTCATAGGGTTGAGGGGCCTCCCTCATGGCTTAAGGAGTTAAGCGCCAGCACTATAAAGCAATTTGCAGCCACTGCAGCACTAATTCGATCCCCGACCAGGGAGCTACCCACATGGCACAGCAGACCTCTCCTGTCTCACCCATTGCTCCCCTCAGCAGTGTATTTCGGTCGATCTGCCTGTTCTGTTCCCTGCTCTGTCTCTGGTGAATCCTCTCACCCCCTGCTCCTCTGGACTGCACCCCAGTTTTTGTATGCATAAATAAATCTTAAAAAAAAAAAAACAAATTCCGAGGGTTGAAAAGCAGTGTTTCCTAGAGGGTAGTTGAGAGCATATTGCCTTGTATACTCAATACACACTTTTAAATAAATGAGTTAATTTACTGGTCATTTTAAGAACAGGAAATGTGACTTGATATTACAGTTCTATTAGAATAAAAAACTGATGGCATTTAATTTTATTTTCTGAAGAGCTGGCTGACATGTTGAAGGGAGATAGCCCAGAGCAATCAAGCCTCAGAGGATGTCAGTCACATCCTGTTCAGTGGCATGTGTGAGTATCATTGGTTTCCAAATGCTCTCATTATATTATTTTGTCAATCATTTATTTAGACATCTAAATAGATGCCTGAACCTTACAATATAAATTGCACATTAACGAGAAGTATGGTTTACAGTGGTTTAATTACAGCTGCAGATTTAATTAACTTCCTAGTAAACTTGTTCTTCTCCATAGCACTTGGTCCAATTATACTTAATTAATTTTTGTCATTATTAATTTCATTTCTGTGTCCCAGATTAAATTATAAGAACCAAGGAAGCAAGAACTGTGCTCCCGTCTTTCTCATTCACAGACAGGTGTCTGGTGGCTAACACCAGCCCTGGCACCTGGCAGGGTGTTAACAGATACTGGGTTAGAGGTTCTGAGGTGCATCCGGACTGATGGGCACAATTGGGGCCCTTGACTGAAGCCTAGAAATACAACCAGCACCTGAATACTGGCTTTGAGGGCTGGCACTGAGGAAACTGGGGGTTTCTCTCTTGGTCTCAAGTGTGTATTAAAATTCCCTCTCCTGACTCTGGCCCCACACCCAGGCCTGACCCACCCGACATGAGGAGGGACAACCTGTCCCAGGTGAGTGAGTTTGTCCTCCTGGAGCTCTCCAGGTACAGGCAGACCCAGGCGGGACACTTTGTCCTCTTTGGGGTCACCTCTTTGCTGACCCTCCTGGCCAGCGGGCTCATCCCCCTCCTGCTCTGCCTGTGCTCTGTCTCTGTGAATTTACCTATTCTAGACCATCATGTAAATGGAATCAAACAATGTGCCACCGACTCTGAGTGACTTTTTTGATGTAGTGCCGTATTTTGGAAATTGTTTCTGTATTGCTTGAGCTCTAATCTGTCTTCATTAAATTATGCTATAATGAATGGGGCAATAGCTTAAGGCAGACACCTTATAATCATAGTTGCAACATAACTTTCATATATAAAATGATGCATCCTATTGTCCAAGACAAGAATGTATACACCTAATCTATCCAAAGGATAGATCAATTGGTGTAAAGGGGAGGGGACAAAATAGTTTCCTACCCCACTGGTTGAGTTTTAGTATTCAGAGAACTTTCTCTGGCCCTTGTCGCTTTAAAGAGGGAGTCAATGAACTTAGTGGGCACTTACTAGTCAGGAGGAAATAATTGGTCCCTCAAGAGACCCTGCAGAGTGGGGTTCCTCTTGTATAGCAATGGCTGTGGACATCGATGAGAAGGTTCTACAATGAGCTCCTGGATGAGAGAAAGAATTTAAAGAAATCAGTCAAATGGGTGCTCCTTCCTGCCGTCAGCTCTATGAACACATTTCTGTTTAGAAAAGTAGAAAGGACACAATAAGGAAAGAAAAACTCTGCCTACTCTTCAAGTAGGGAGTCTGTTATCTGTCAGGACAGGGTGAATGAGCTGGGCAGAGTGGAGGGCTTGTCTAATTCTAGCTCCTGCTAAGAGATAGTTGAGTGGAAGTTTCCTCACAGAGAGAACATGGGAAAAGGTCAGCTGATTCACGAACTGCACCTGCAGTCCACCAGCCTGTCCAAAGGACTCTTGACCTTGATCCTTGTGCTCAAAACCTTCATGCAACCCCCCTCAGGAGCAACACCCCAAGCACGACCCTTCTCTGCAGCCCCACCCCACACATCACACAGCCCTGTGTTTCACCATGTGGGATGCCACTCCCCACAGCTGTGGTGACACACCCTTGTGTGTGATGACAGGGACGAGGCAGGAGGAGCGTGGGGTGCACTCCACAGCCTCCACGTCCAGCCCCACCTCTGCTCCCTGAGCCCTGGTGTTCTCCTTTGTAAAGCGAGGTTGAAATGATGATGTAAGACTTCCTGCCAGTTTTCATTCTTCTCTGTGATTCCCCTTTCACATTTTCTTCTCTGCAGTGGTGAGAATTTCAGTTGTTCCTTGTGGCATTCTGGAGCGCAAGCGGGACTAAAGTTTGGCTACTTACTATATAAAGCTTTTTTAAAAAAGATTTATTTATTTATGCATACAAGAACTGGGGTACAGGCCAGAGGTACGGGGGGTGAGAGGAGTCACCAGAGACAGAGTGGGGAGCAGAACAGGCAGACTGATGAAATACACTGCTGAGGGGAGCAGCGGGTGAGGCAGGAGAGGTCTGCTGTGCCATGTGGGTAGCTCCCTGGCTGGGGATTGAACTCGTGCTGCAGTGGCTGTGGACAGCTTCATAGGTTGCGTCTTAACCCCTCACGCCACCAGGGAGGCCCTACTTATTATATGGACCAAAGACATGGACACTTAGAAGCCAGGCGCTCCCTCCCCAGGCGTGGGGCTGGGAATCTCAGTTGCGGGGTATCGCACCCACGCCAGTTTCTGTTCTGAGCAATTTCTATAGTAACAGCTTCTGGCCACAGAAGGACAAGAAGAAGGAAAGGCGAAGGTTTCCTCTAACCAGGGGGACACTGGGATGATGTCCAGCAGCTCTGGTCTCTTCCCCCTTATCCACTACCAGCCTTGTCCTCAAACCCCGCTAGAAGGATTCGGGCGGAACTGATTGCATTTCCGTCTTGTTGGATTCCGCGGCCCATCTCCTAGATCCTTCATGCTCATTCTTTTCATTTAGATCATGCTCTGCAATTTATCACAGTCTTTCTCAACATTCCCTCATATGATACTCACTAGTTGTTCCTTGGGTTCAAACATTCTAAAATGTCATTTTTGGGGACCAGATCTAAGAAAACTAAGGCGAAGGAAACCCCCAGGCATGCAAAGGACAAGACATTCAGATTTTTCACCGATTCACAGTGCCGTTGAGGCAAACCCTGTAAACTCTTTTGTCCTCAACATTTTCAGACAAAGAATGAGAATTTTAGCCCCAAGTAGCTTTCCCCAACAAATACTCTTCTAGGATGATCTCAAAGACATATTTCTGTCTCACAATCCATGTCTCGAGTCTTCAAAAACAAGGTTAAATGTTCCCTTCAAAGCAGTGATTCTCAAACTTAGCTTCACATTTTAACTACCTGGGAAATGTTAAGCTTCTCTCAACGTTTGAAGGGCTCTTTGCCCCTGTGATTTTGATTTAATTACTTTGGGGTGTGGTCTGTGGTTTTGGAATTTTTTTAATTGTATTGTTTTTTATCGAGGCAACACTGGTATGAACACCATCTATGATACAGAGGGGCAGGTTCACACCTCTCCAGATGTGCGTCCCCACCTATACTCACCACCGAGACACCCACAGCCCCCACCATAGTCATGGGCCCCTCCACACTCTGCTCCGAGCCCCTGCCCTCCCCTCCGGTAGCCTCGATGCTACAGTCAGATTTCTAGGGATGATTCTGGTTTGGTTTTGTCTGTTCCTTTGTTTCGTTTCTCTACATTCCATGTGCTTTCAAGCATATAGTGGCTTCTGGAACTTTTAAAGTGTCCCAAGTGATTCAAATGTGTGGCCAATGCAAAAGGCTCTGCTCTGGGGTCCACCGGGATTCTATGGGATTTTCATGGGCCAAACCAGTGTCTGGCTCTTTCCCTCCCAACTTCCACTACCCAGCATCCAAATGGGCTGTTGCAGCTGTCACACTTTGCTTTGTGGCCCTTAGCCTCTCCCTGGGCTCATCATGCACCCCCTGCCACGTTGTAAAGAAACCAGAGGCAAATACTGGGCTACAGGGACTTACTGTCAATAAACAAAGAGATGAAGACTGCACACTTTCTTCAGACATTTGTACTAAGAACAGACATTTGTACTAAGAACAAAAATGGCATTTCATCCTTTAATGGAGGCTAAAGACCAGCAAAGCACACAGGGAGGTGTTCCAAAGGCTAACAAGTCTCTGCCAGAAGAGGATTTACACAGCCAGGCTGGAGGCCTGAGAGGCACTCCCTTGCTGACTTCATCTGTGGGCAACGTCAGTTTCCAGATGTCATCACTGCAAGTAAGTGATAGGTGCCTTCATCTTTTATTAATCACTTACTTTAATATTCAGGTGAATGCCAGTATTTCGCCGAGGAACAGCTTCATCTCAAGATGTTGGGGCATAATTGCAGTTGGCATCATGTTCTATAACGAGGCCTCGATCTTATCAACTTAGGACTAAGCCCGATTAATCAGTCCACTGAGAACCAGGTGAGATGTTCTCTCCATCACCGACCCACCCAGATTAGGGTTCCATCCAGCCTCAACCATAAGGACAAGAGCTCCAGAATGCAAGGGCTACATCTTAGAAGCTAAGAACACTCTTCAACACCACTCCTTTAAACATTTTTATTCATACACCAACAACAAAAAAATGGATTGGAAAACATTGGCAGAAATCTCTGTATAAAAAGAAAAATCAGAAAAGATCTTGAGGGAACTTCCTGGTGGCACAGGGGGTTAAAGTCTCAGCACCATGAAACTATCAGTAGCCACTGCAGCACAAGTTCGATCCCTGGCCAGTGAGGGTCCCACATGGCGCGGCAGACCTCTCCTGTCTCCCCGCTGCTCCCCTCAGCAGTGGATTTCAGTCAATCTGCCTGTTCTACTCCCCACTCTGTCTCTGGTGAATCCTCTCAACCCCCGCACCTCTGGCCTGTACCCCAGCTCTTGTATGCATAAATACATAAATCTTTTTAAAAAAAGATCTTGAATTCAAGAAGCTTGGAATCTAAAGGAGAAAACATACAAGCACTTTCAGAAGGTCCCACTAAGGTCCTGGGTTCAGTCCCAGAATGTATTCTGATTCTGATTCAGCCCACACAATCCCACCGCCTTTTGGGACAGCCTGATCCACCTGCCACGAGGAGGGACAACCTGATCCACATGAGTGAGTTTGTCCTCCTGGGGCTCTCCAGGGACAGGCAGACCCAGGTGGGGCTCTTCATCCTCTCTGGGGTCTCCTATCTGCTGACTCTGCTGGACAACGGGCTCATCATCCTCCCAATCTGCTGGACACCCGTCTCCACCTGCCCATGTGTTCCTTCCCATGCAACCTCTCGGAGGTCGACATCAGCTGCATCTCCAGTGGGGTCCCCCAAATGTTGGCACCCTTCCTCCTGGTCAAGAAGACTATGTCCTTCACCCACTGTAGGACCCAGCTCTTCTCCTTGCTGGGTCTGGGGGGGACAGAGTTCCTGCTGCTGGAGGCCATGCCTGTGACTGCCATTGGCCATCTGTGACCCCATGCTCTACGTGATGGTGGCCAGTCTCCTGTGACAGCAGCTGTTGCACCCTGTGACCCTGTGCAGGTCACACACTCCAGGTTTTAGGGGGCTCCGGTGCAGCAGTGTTGCTGGTGCCTAAACTAAGAGTGGGTAGAAACTCAGTGGAGTTAACAGAGAAATGTAGAACAGAGCCCACTCTCTCTTCACAAGGAAGGTCATGATAAAAGGTGTGTGTGTGTGTGTGCGTGTGTGTGTGTGTGTGTGTGTGTGTGTGGGTGTGGGTGTGGGTGTGGGTGTAGGGGAGTGTATGTGAAAGATGTACTCTTTGCTTTTGAAGGTATAGATAAATGATGACTTCAGCTCTAGAATCTTCTTTGTAAGTCTGGCCTTGTCCCAACAAGATTCAAAAGCTGTTTACACCAATCAGAAATGTTAAATACTTGTTGACTGAGCAAACATCAGCATAATTCCATAATCACTTTCATCAATGTCCTAAATATCAGCTTCACCATCTGCTGCCAATCAATCCGAGACTTAACGAACACTTAATGAACAGTTCCTCTCTGCCCAGTCATGCCTGACTCCTTGGTCACTGTGGTTATCACAACAACTCCCTCTTAACTGTTGAAAGCATCAGGGCCTGGGACACCATGTGGATTTCAGGAAGAAACATCAACCAGTAAGCAAATTTGTGTCAGCTCCACTGTGTGCAACAGCCAAGTCTAATCAGAGATCCTTCCTCACAATCTGAAAAATGCTTGGAAAGGTAAGAGATAAATAGCAAAAAGTAAAAAGAATTTGCGACATAAACCAATAGTGCAAAAATATAAGGCTATATTTGGTTAATTACCAAATATAAGATAGAGAAGAAAAGCCTCATGAAAATCCCTCAAGAAGAGGAGTAATCTGGGAAATTTGCAAAAGAAATAAAGGGGGATGAGGGAATGAAATTGAGCCTTAGAACATGGCAGGTAGAATTTGGGTGGTTGAGGCAGTTGAGAGAGAAGTGAGTGCGGGAGTGGGGAAGTGACACAGGTAAGGAGGCTGGAAAAAGGAAGAGCTGTCTGAGCAAGAGTGAGCAAACCAGTTGGGTTAGAACAGAGATGTCATTCTAAGGAGTCATGAGAAGAGGGAAGGCTGGACCCAGGGGTTTACAATCAAGGCCATGTAAGGGAGGGCAAAAAACAGAACTTTTTTTTAAAGATTTATTTATGCATGCATGCAAGAACTGGGATGCAGGCGAGAGGTGCAGGGGGTGAGAGGATTCACCAGAGACAGAGTGGGGAGCAGAACAGGTGGATCTACTGAAATACACTGCTGAGGGGAGCAGCAGGGAGACAGGAGAGGTCTGCTGCACCATGTGGGTCAGCTCCCTGGCCGGGATCGAACTCGTGCTGCAGTGGCCGGAGACAGCTTGCTAGTGCTGAGACTTTAACCCCACCACCACCAGGGAGGTATAAGAAAGCAGAATTACGTGGGGATAGCACATCTCAAGGCATTCAAGTTATGCTCTCGCTCTCCACCAGGGCCATAGACTAACTGAGAAAAGTATAAAGAGTGCAGATGATTTTTACTCTTTTAGCCCAACAAATTCTCTTTCTCATGCTTTACTAAAATTAAATGAATCAGCTATTTATGGTTCAAATTCCTTCCATTCAAGTCAACTTCACAGACCAGGAAAGTTTAAGGTTGGGTTCAAAGACCAAAGGAGTCAGGTAAGCAGAAAATATAGACTAGCCTCTCTCCAGAGCACACAGTAAAACGTTGGAATTAAAAATGAGTGAAGAGATCTTGAAGTGAGGATTGAACAAAGGGTGTAACTGTAGTTAAAATACCTCCTATCTTCCTTCTTTTTTTTTTTCAATGAGAAGATAACCAGGCCATTTAGTAACCCTCTGAAGATTGAGCATAAAGAAACAGCGCCTACTTTGTTTTCTGTAAGTGTCACCTCTGATCACAGCCCTGGATTTGTTTTTTCTGATCTCATGCCACATTTCAAGAGGGATCCCCCAGTCAGACAGGTCCCATCCTGGCGAGGGAGAGAGCTGGAGTTTGCTTTTCTAGTACCGATTCTCAAAACAAGACCAAGTCTCGCCCAAGGCCCGAGCCTGGGAAAGCCCTCAAATCTTGATTGTTTTCATGGAGAATGAACCAATGCATAAATCTCAAAGAGCAAAACTCAGGCTCAAGGTAGGAGCTGGCTTAGGAGAGTATTTCTAGAACAACTTAGAGGCAGAGCAGGGAGCAACCAAGTGTGCTAGCACATCGTCCTGAGGCCATTTGCACATACTGGGAATTCACTGTGAGCCTCCCCAAAAAGCAGAGCTTCTCTGCTTCTCCAGAAGAGTCCAAATCCAGTCTCCTCCATCCAGATCCAAGTCATCTCCATACCACAGTCTCTTCAACACACACTCCCTGCTCCAGGATTCCACTGGAGGCCCCAGGGTCCTAGCCTGCTACTCACTGAGAGGCTTCCAGGCCTGTGAGCACCCTGGAATCATGTGTTAAACTTCCTGAGGGAATCTTTCTGCCTCACCGTCCTCCCCCGGGCTCTCTGTCATGTGCTCCTAGGCGCTTCTGCTTCCCCCTCATAACAGTTCTCCCAGCTTCTGACCCAGATTTGATGATACAACTAGACTCTTAGGCCTGGCTGTCTGTGACTGGGAAGACTATGGGGTTGAGACAGATGCTGTCAAAACAGCATCTCAAAACAGATCTAACTGAATACATTCTCAAATAATAGATGATCCCCCAAAAGGTGAACACAAACTGGATTACATACCGGTTAGTAGATGGCTTGTATCTCTGCATGACTCTTTTTAACCTTTAGTGGGAAGCTGTGATAATTGCCACTGGTTGATAAGACCAACTTTTTAGATAAGCTTCCCTGAAACCACAGAACCATCAGTCCATCTGATTTCCCAAGGATCCAATTTCCAAAACATTTTCTAAATCTTTTCATTTCTTTTCTCAGTGAAATGGCTCTGTATGGCAACTGGCAAAAGATAATACAGAATAAGATAATAGATAATGTTTTGTAACTTTCTCCATTTTCTTTTATAAGTTCCTCCTTTCTCCTTTATGCCTTAGGAAAACAAACTCCTAGTGTTTGTTTTTTTTCCCCCTGGCCTCTGCCCTTCCCCCAACTGAACTCAAATGCTGCTTGGGTGAATTTTTCTCCAACAATCAGATCCTCCTTCGAACTCCAGACCTGCTTCAGCCTCAGAACCCTTCTCAGTGGTTTCTTATCCACCACAAATGCTGTTTCTTTACCACAGTCACAGGGCATATTTGCTCTGATTGGCAATAGAAAAAAAAATGGGAAAAGTGGGGAAACAAGAATCTGAAATAAAAAGAAAAACTGGTCCTTCCTGACAGCTATAAATGTCCTTGCAGGGTCTGGTCTCTGCTCTGCGTGCTGATGCAAATACAGAAAAAAAAATAACAATATAAATCATGCACTATTATAATTACTGTTAACAAGTTGTGATGAGTAACTACATGTGTGTCATACACACAGAATATCCATTTCAACCTTTGCAACTGTTTGAGGTGGTTACTATTACCCTCACTTAATATACCAGGAAACTAAGTCAGAAAGGGTTAATTATACTTCTGAATTCACATCATAGGAAATGCAGAAGGTCTACATTTTAAAATTTAAATTTAAAATTTAATTTAAAATTAAAACACTCCCAAGAGTAATGACATAAATATTGATCAAATGGAAAGGCATTCCCTGTTTCTGGACAGTAAGACAGCATCAGAGATGTTTATGTCTCCTTAGGCTAAATTATACATTTACCAACTTAATAAAAAAAATTGAGATCAGACAGTAGTATTTTAAAACTAATAGCTAAGAAAGTGCTGAAAAAGATTAATGAAGCAACACTAGTTTACCAGTTATTCAAATATCTTAAACTTTAAATAATTTAAATGTTGGGGTGATGATATGCTTACATCAAGGTAGAAAAACAGTAAGAAATCTGGGGGGAAAACAACATATACAGGATAGTAATGATGAAAAGGCAACATTTTATAAATGACCTTGTATAAAATCACCAGCATATTAAAACATATATGAATGCCTCCCTGGTAGCGTAGGGGTTAAGTTTCATTGCTAGCGCAGCTGTGGCCTGAGTTGGATCCCCAGCCAGGGAGCTATCCACATGGCACAGCAGACCTCTCCTGTCTCACCTGCTGCTCCCCTCAGCAGTGTATTTCAGTGGATCTGCCTGTTCTGCTCCCCACTCTGTCTCTGGTGGACCCTCTCATCCCCTGCACCTCTGGCCTATACCCCAGTTCTTACATGCATAAATAAATAAAAATATATCTAAAAAATAATAAAATACATGAGACAATAATTAAGTAGGCCACTTTCCACGAAAGTAACATTGGCTCAATATCATATAAATCTATTAACGAAACTGAAAAGAGAAAGAGAAAATGAAAATGAAAAAGAATGAAATGAAATGAAAGAGAAAATGTGTCAACCAATTAATAGTGAAAAGGTATTTGATAATGTTTATCCAAAAGTATTGATGTGTATATAATTAACCACCAAGGTATTCATAATTTATAGTAGCAAAAAGTGAAAAACAACTTGAATGTGAAGAAATAAGTTTTCATCAAGTTTTTAGAACTAAACTCTGGATTACAAATGAGTCAAGATTATGATACTGTTAAATATTTCATAATATGCAAACGTGTTATGACATATTTCTAAGTGAAAAGCCACATCTGCATGGCCGTGGGGCTGCCTGATGCAGAGGGAGACTGAAGAGGGGGCAGGATGGGCCTTTGGGCTTCCAGCTCTGGCAGATGTTTAGTTCTGATTCTCTTCTGCAGCCTCTCTCCTGAAGTTTCTACACTCTACCGGCAGCCCTATTAGCCCTATTAGTCAGACTGCAAGACCCCCCCACACAGACACCCTATGACACACCCCCAAAGTGCTGCCCCCTCAGCCCTAACAGTCACATTCTCCCAACTCCTCCCCAAAAGGTAACTGGCCCGCCCGTCTCTCATTCTCTTAATGCCCCAGGAAGCAGCAAAAGCCTAGTCCATTGAGGGACCCAACTAAAGCAATAACACAGTGAGATTTGTGAGCAGCTGGTGGACTCCCGGGGCCACCACCAGGTGTGAGGTGAGGGGTGCATTCCTAGTTCTCCTCCATAGAAGATGGAACAGGACTCATAACATGGCTTTCTCTAAATGTGAGTTTGTTCCTTACTGAGTCTTCTCCCTTCCACTGTCTCAACACTTCTGTTTTATCAGAAGGTTTCAGAAGTTATGGAACAGGTTTGTGTCCTTTGATACCCTGCATAAGGTGACCTGGCAGCTCACTTGGAAATCTCACATCATTAAATCTTTGCACCTGGTAGAAATTTCAACTCTTAACACCCTATTATTTAAAGGGCAAGATCGAAATTATCATGTTGGTCATGGTAAGAAAAGTGGATCTTGTTCTAGTGTAATTGAAAGCCATTAAAGGATTTTAAACAGGGAAGTCTCATGATCTAACTTATGTTTTTAAACAGGCCTCTGGCCTATTATGTAAAGAATGGAAGGAGGCAGGGGATGAGGGTGGTGAGAGGCAGCTGCATTGGACCAAGCGCTGGGGATGTGAGCAGTGATAAGACGCAGGCGTATTCTGAAGGCAGAGCCCATAGGATGTGCCTGATATGGGGGTGATAGAAAAAGAAGAATGAGGATGATCCTAAATTTTTGACTCCAGTAACTGGGAAGA